GTTCGAGGCTCAGCGTGGGTGTCTTTTTTTATTTTCGTTTCTTTTATATTATTGTAGAAAGGTCTGTTTTTACAGCATTATTATATTTTGATTGGTTTATTTTAAATATGTTTGTTATGAAGGCTCTATGTAATACTATTTAGAGCACATTTTACATTTTAAACACCTAAGCCCCCCTCTTTTTAATATTGTAGCAAAGTATTAAAAGTATTATTTTATTTTAGATGTTTGCCATGAAACTTTGGGAAGTTGTTTAGTATACTATCAGGACGATTTCTGGCGAATTATTTTGGAATAATATTTATAGCGATAATTATAGCGAAATTAAGACATAGTGATTATATTCTGTGTTTGTGCATATATTAATATTTAACAGAAAATGTTAGAACGTTCTATTAGAATATCTCGAAAACAAAAAACAATACATATAAACGAGTTCACTGACATTTATTAATGCAGTGATTATAATCAATGATTACAATGAAGGCCTATATTATCGATATATATAAAAAAAAATTTCAAATTTTAACGTAACGTTCCATTCTCAATCCCGTAGGGCTTTATATCGGCTAAAACATTTTTATCTTTATAAGTGAATATTAACTTTACTGTACTGAATAGTTTAGTATAATGTTAATTTAACATATTACAATTTAGCCACAGCAACGCGTGGCCGGGTTCGATATTTATAATATATATTTCTGATTCATTTGATTATGATTATAATTTGTAAGTACTTTGTTATAGTTTTTCATTTAAATAGAGCTCAATTTTTGTGTATGTTTTCTATTTGCAGTATCTTTCCTAATGTCTTTGGCAACGTTTTTTTTTCTCATAAATAGGCTGAGGTTATATTATTTTTCGAATTGTAGATTGAATTATTACTTTTATTCTATAATAATTATCTTTTATAAGTGTTTGTTATAGTTTTTCATTTGAATTTAGCACAATTTTTCATCTCTCTTTGGCATCTTTTTTTTTTCTCATTAATAAGACCTAATCCAAATAATCTAATAGTGTGTGACGTTTCAGCAACAGCATCAGACAAAAGAATAAATGAACTAAAGAATAAAATCTCATTTTTTCTTTTGTCTGATGATGGTGACATTTGGATTAGGTCTTATTTTTTTTTATTAATTTGTTATAGTTTTTCATTTGAATTTAGCTCCATTTTTGTGTCTTATTTAATAAATGAACTAAAGAATAAAATCTCATTTATTCTTTTGTCTGATTTTTGTGTCTGATTTTCTTTTTTACAGTATCTTTCATAATGCCTGATTTGATTACTTGATCTGTTATAGTTTTTCATTTAAATTTAGCTCCATTTTTGTGTCTGTCGTTTTTTTTTTTCTTCTCATAAATAGGCTGATGCTGTATTTGTGTACTCAATTGTTGCTTTTTGTGTCTGGTTTCTTTTTTGCAGTATTTTTTTGGAATCTTTTTTTTTTCATCAATTGTTTCCTCACATGCTTGGAATTTTCTTTTTATGCCTGTCCTGGCTTTCAGTTTTATAGTTTTCCTCTGCTTGGTTCTTATTTTACCTTTTTTTTTCAGCGTCTTCTGTCATGCCTCGAAAAGGCCGTGAAAGACTCACTCCCCTAACAGCTAGGCGTGCTAATATGACTCGCCGCAGACACAAAACCCCAATTGCTATTTCTCTTGTTTACTTTTTTACCAATGCATATAATTTTTCACCTAAAAGATTTTTTATTTTATTTGTTATTCAATAAATTATTATCACTTATTTTTGGTCTTCTTTTTACTTACTTATTTTACTGGGGGTTGGTGGAAGGAAGGTCTAAGCCGTTGGTTTACGACCGCTACGACCCGGGTTCGATTCCCGCATTGGGCACTTTTTTCTGAAAAATAAAAAATAAAAATGCTCCAATGGCTTCCGATTCTTGCAAAAGTCCAACCCCACCAGCAAGCGCAAGTAATCAAACGGGGCTCTGGCACATTTGTAAATGCAAAGTCGAACTGCTTTTCACATGTTTAGACATGTGGTGTACTTACAGTTAAAGCAGTCGCCTACTCTACCCACCATGATTATCAAGGCCTGTACCACGTGTACTAGGGATAAGCAAAAAAAAATATTTTACTCATTGATCTATACATACAATTATTTGCATACAATTATTTACATACAAATATATGCATACAATTATATACATACACTTTTCTACATTTTTGCACTCTGCAGTCTAATATGTTGTTAATAATAGGGGTTTTAGACAAATATCAACTGTTGAAATTTGATTTTCCAAAATAGTTGAATTATCGAAAGTGTCGAATTAGTTTGTCATATGATAGGCCGTAGGTCGAGACATCCAAAAATGGTCGAATTATCGTGTGTTGAATTAATTAGATTATATTGTATATATAAAAATATAGAATTGTTGTTTTTAATGAGGTCTTTTAAATGAATTTATTCCTTTAATATGTTGTCATATCTGCAATTTTTTTCATTTCCAAAATATTTATTTACACTTTCACCAATGCCTATAGGATTTTTGCGATGGAACAGGTATGGTGTTCTAGCGCATGTGCTCTCATGTCCTTGAAGCACATATACTGACAGTACCCAAAGTTGAACACACTGTATAATGTCTGAAATATATGACTATAAAGAGGGCTCAAGGCCAAACCTTTGCTACAAGATCCTGTGTTTACGCACAGACGATTTTATGTTTTTAATGAGGTCTTTAAAATGAATTTATTCCTTTAATATGTTGTCATATCTGCAATTTTTTTTTCATTTCCAAAATATTTATTTACACTTTCACCAATGCCTATAGGATCTTTGCGATGGAACAGGTATGGTGTTCTAGCGCATGTGCTCTCATGTCCTTGAAGCACATATACTGACAGTACCCAAAGTTGAACACACTGTATAATGTCTGAAATATATGACTATAAAGAGGGCTCAAGGCCAAACCTTTGCTACAAGAGCCTGTGTTTACGCACAGACGACTTTATGTGACTTTTTCAAGTGTGCGAACTTTGGATAGCATACATGTAAAGTTGAACCCAAGTATATATAAAATGTAGTTTTTAATGAGGTCATTTAAATGAATTCCTATTATAAATCGTCTCCTCTGAAATATAGTTTGTAAATTTATATTCTGATTTATTTTATCCTTTTTTTTTCATTTCCAGAATATATATTTACACTTTTCACCAATGCCTAAAGTTTCTCACCTGAAAGAAAAAAAACTCCGCCTTTGCCGGTCCCAAGCCAGGATGAAAAAGGAGGAGGGGGAGCAGTAACAAGCTCACTAAAAAAACCTGGGCTCAGCTGGCCCGGCTGATAGTACCTTGTAAGGGCTCCTAATCCAGGGATACATTCTTTTGGAGCTAAGTCAGTGGCCTGCCACTGAGTAGTGCTCCCAGTCTTGATGACAAAGGCAGACGCATTCTACTTCACCCAATCGTGATGGTTGTTAATTTCAAGCTTTACAAGCTTGACACTCTAATATGATTGAGTGAAGATAAGAAAGGAGAAAAAAATATTTTTTGTATTTTTTTTGGCAATAATCTATTTATTATCAATTAATTTGATTTTGGTCTTTATTTATTATTACCCTGCTCTATACATACATTTTGTACATTTACAATGTCAGCCATTTTCTCTGTAATACCTTTTTAGCAGTGAAGTTATATTTGAGCAACAAACAATTGTTGAAATTTAAAATGGTCGAATTATCGATAGTGTTGAATTACACTTTGTTATATGATAGGCTGTAGGTCAAGACAACAAAACATGGTCGAATTATCGAGGTTATATTGTATATATAAAACTAGAAATGTAGTTTTAATGAGGTCCTTTAAATATTTTCATTCCTTTTATATGTTGTCTTATCTGCGATATAGTAGCATTTTTTGCAATTTTATTTGCTGATTTGTGTCATTTTTTCACTCAAAATATATTTATTTAAACTCTTCAACTAATGCCTATAGTTTCTTTCCTGAAATTGCTTAGCAAACATGAGTTGGTTGTATTGTTATGCTTCGGAGATATTTTAATCCTAAGCAGGGTCTTTACGAATGGTACACGTATGGTTACACAGTGCATGTGCTCTCATGTTCTTGAAGTAGTGTAGATGTGTTGTTTGCACTTTTATTTTCTGATTTGTTAGTATTTTTCTTCTTTTTTCATTTTAAATAATTTTTTAGGCATAGGAACCAATGCCTATAGTTTCTCACCTGCGGGCCCTTCGAGTAAACCCGGGGCGTTGCCCGGGTCACTCGGCTAGTATATGTAAATAATATTTTTGAATCTTTCTAAGTCGCTTTCTGTGTATCCTTCCATGTTGAATATTTTCTTTGTTATATTTGCATGTACATTTAGCGCAAGTGTCCCTAGGGGGACATAGCGTTTTGAATTGAAATAAATAAATAAATGTTACACACAATCAAAAAGAACAATCTCGTTTATGATATTTACAACAATGAATAATATTTATTCAAATAAAAGATACTTCAGACAGTAAATCGGCCAGAGACAATAAAAAGATTTACTGGCCGAAGTGTATTTTATTTGAAGAAATATGAATGTCGGCCAAGCAGCCTCTATCTTTACGATAATAAATTTACATATTAAAATTTACATATTAAAATTATTTACATATCAAAACAAAGGGTCCAACACGGGATTCGATCACTGTTCATGGCTATCGGGAATCGAGGCTTTTAACCACTCGTTCAATGACTTCTTTCGAACAAAATTTCCGACCACTAACCTCATCTTTAGGTATCTTAATAATTTATCACAATACACCTATCCCCCGATTTACACGGTAGATACGTTCCTGAGAAAAACGTGTAAATCGGGGGATAGGTGTACACAGAAATAAAAATAAAATGCATTGACAGGTTAAAATATGTAGTCGGCACATAAGCTCGGGATTCCTCGTGAGATGTGTACACAGCGCATGTGTTCAATCACAGTAGCATTTAGTATAGTGCGATAAAAACAAAAAAAAAACTTATTTGGAAAACCGTGTAAAAGCGAAATCGTGTAAAACAAGTACCGTGTAAATCGGGGGATAGGTGTATTTATTAAATTTTAATAATGAATTCTAAATTTACACACACACACAAAGATATCATAGATTGAGAAAAATTTCCTGATCGTGCAACAAAAAGTTGCTATCTATCGGAATTCTGGAATATTTAAAAATGAACGATTAGTTGATATTTATTCCGATAGATGGCGCAAGCCATCAGCTAGTTGCACGATCAGAAAATGAACCTTTTTTTTTCTCAATCTATCCAAATGATCCAAGTACAAATTCACTTTTGTGCTATTTTCACAAAAATATATCATAGCGAAATTATTTCTACTTCAACGAAGTATCTCAATCAAAAGTGTTAAGTGTAAGTAAAAGTGTTGTTTGGTTTAAAATTATATTTAGAATTTATCACAAAATTTGAAATGAAGTATTAAAATGAATCTATTCCCGACCACATTTTTATAGAATGCTAGCTGCTCCTTACGCTACGGAATCGGCTTCCTCCAAAATTTCTCCTTTTAAAGGAAATATACGACTTCTATTCTCTAGTATATTCCGTTTTTCCAAGGACACCTAGAAGTCAGAAATTTTGTGCATTTGTCTTATTATCCGGATTGAAGATTTCTACGTAGTTTAGATATACATTCTATATACAGTTACGAGCGTCATTCTTCATCTCCTAATCATTCAGTTTTCGTCTCTGTCACCGTTTGCTTTTTTTTTTTTGGAATGGCGCCCTCCTATTGGTTGGCTACGATCACGCCACCTTTGCCCCCCCCCCCCCCCACTCGCTCTTTCGTTTTTGTAACTATTGTGTTGGAGCGGGTCGCTCCTTAAATAAATGCATATATTAGTTAAAAACCAAATGGAATCCTCTCTTTCTTTTTCCCAGTAAGAGACGCCTACGGAAGCCAACAGTACATAGACAGATAAAGCACATAGGCTATAGTTATTAACTAAAATATGCATTTATTTAAGACGCCAATTTATAATTGTAACAAATAGTATTTTGAATAAAACATTCAATCGGGTAAAACACGGGCGTTGCCCGGGTCATTCGGCTAGTAATATAATAACACTGTTAGTATATTTCACATATCTTCTAATTAGTTAAGTTAGAACCAAAAATTTATAAGATCTTACCTTCCTATTAGAATGTACACTGCTCCTATTTGCTACCACTCCCCATATTTTGTATGATATGCTATATCTTTATTAAATTTTGTAATTAAACTCAAAACTATGACGTCAAAATAAAAACAGCAAAAGAGTGGTCTGGAAACAGCTACGAGGCAAAGCCAAAAAATATGACACGCCCAGTAAGGAGCCCCTTCCGGGGTCAACACAGCAGTGTCAGCTCAGAGTGTGCTACAGTGTGTCCATCTACGCAGGCCGCTTCTGTCTCTCTATCCTTGTCTCGGTGTTAGGCATCCAAGTTTGTGTCATGGCCTCCACCTCTGTCCCGTGGACTGTCTCCGACCCGCTCGGTACTAACATTTAGCCCTACCTCTGCTTCTTGCTGTCCACGTGTGGGAAGAATCTCAACACTTCGCCTCACGACTTACGACTGCCAGTTTATTCACACGTCGGCTTACTTGGTGTTACAACATATATATATATATATAACCTCGAGTGATATAGTATATATATATATGTCATAATTTGTATATAATTAAATGCAACCCCGACCCACTATGTATGTACCATGTATGATTTTCAAAGATTTAATAAAAGAATAAGGTAACTGGAGGAAAGAAAGTAACAAAAGACATAGGAAGTAGATCTAGAGGAGAACATATTTATTAATAACGTCGCAGTTAACCTTCTGACCCCGGGTCCCTGCGAGCTAAGTTTAAACCAACACTTCCTGGCAGAGACCGGACGTATCTAGTGACCGCCGAAGTTATATTAGTCAAGAAGCACTCAATACTTCCTGACAAAACAGGACGTATCTAATATCCGTCGAAGTTATAAGCGTCAAGCTACCCAACACTTCCTGATGAAATCGGATATATCAGGCAGGCCATATCTTTCACCAAAGAGAGCCGCGGTCCAATCAGAAGACAGCACCTAAATAGGTCGACCAATAGGAAAAGATCATGTGACATCTCTCGACCAATCAAAAAGAAACTGAGTCTTGGTGTTAAATCGAAAAGAAAGAATAGTTAGTAACGTTTTGGCTCTCATAGGAACAACACCTAGAGTTGTTCACTGGCTCTCGCCGAGTTCGGACAGTTGTGATTCCGCTTCCAACAAGGTGACATCTACTCGCGAGGCCTCTCTCCCTCTGCTCATCCCACAGCTAAGTACAATCACCGCCATGTGATTAGATAAGGAACAATCAAAACCGCTCCGCTCTTCTCAAGCTTTCTTCCCTCCAACCCAGTTGCCTTTTATTTTCAAACCCCATCACGTGTCCTGATTATTCCTAACTGTATGCTTAAACTTCCACTCAAACGACTGCGTTTCAACCAATCCTCACCATTCAAATCGAACAACAAGAAATTCCGCAACGATATTGTCACAGAACGGTTAAGTCGACAGGATAAAGAGATGGAATTAAATCAGGATCCCATAGGCGTAAAGTCAGACGGTCCGACGGAAACAATGGAAAGAAGGCAAGAAGTAAGAGAGAGCGAACCGGCAGGAGAAAGACAGGAGGTGACCGGCCGAGAGACAACTGCGCCCCTAGCGGACGCCGTCAACCAGCTATCAGCGCTCCTGACCCGAGTAAAAATTTCTGATGGAGCGGAGGCGACAATCTCGCCTTTCGACGGCACATACAGCGCGACACAGTTTTTCCAGACGTTCGACCGAAAAATGGAAGACGCATCCATGGGAGAACAAGAAAAATTACTGCGCCTGCCAAACTACCTGGTGCGACAACCCCTGGAGCTCTTCAGGAAACTTCGGCTGGCCGACCGGAGTTATTTCCAGGTGAGACAAATCCTCCTAGATCTCTACCCTGAGTCAAGCGAAGCGTCCTTTGCGAAATATTTCGCCATGAAACTTACTGGACAAGCCAACCTAGAGACCTACTACCGGGAAAAAACCGCCATGGGATTGCAACTAGGACTTCCACAAGAGGTGATCCTCGAGACACTGACAGAAGGACTGCCATTCAACGACCAGCGCCTAGTCCGCGTAGTGCCTCCCGAGAACCTAGGAGAGTGGTTCCGACTTGTACAGCGGATCCACGGGCCCAGTGTACCGATAACGCGACCCAGAGAAGATCAACCACCCACAATGTCGGGTCGTTACCACAGCACACCCCGACGCCCAGGTGCATGGAATGCACCTCTTCCGCCGTCCAACTGCAAGTTCTGCGGCGCGAGACACTGGCACAGCGAATGCCGACGTCGACCAGTCCCGACGACCCACGAGAAAGTCCGGACAGTGCAAACGGTCCCAAAATCACCAGTTCCGATTCCACGACAACCAAATCAAGACAGAGACACCCCAGCCGAGCAGCCCTTTCGAGACTGAGGTAGGCTCCCTAAACCAACTGACTGTCAAACTTTTTCTAACCCCTAATGTATCATGCCCCTTTTTAATTGATACAGGCGCCAGCCTGAGTATAGTGCCATATAATATTTATCATATGCTAAAAACCCACCTGCCTAATTTAACCCTTGAGGGACATTCACTACACCTCCAAACCCTAAACGGATTTGCAAAAACCATGGGTAAACTATCTATCCCACTGACAATAGGACAAATATCACGAAAGGAGAATTTCCATGTAGTGAATGCACCATTGCCATTTGGAATTCTTAGTATCAATAGCCTCAATAAATTCAGATTAACCATAGATTTTAATAAATGCACTATATTCCAGCTGGGCGCCCCATTGTCTACCCTTTCCTACCATTTTAATCATGTGTCCAATGTATGCACGTACTGGCAGTGTCAGGCGATGTCACAAAAAATTTTCCCCGCATCCCAACTTTCCGCCTATGACAACCATTGCGTGCATTCATTGAAAAAAACCCACTTATCTACATGCCCCTTTTTCACTAAAGCCAATTGCCTTTTTTACATGCCCTCAAATAATCAAACCACAACAACTTCAACTTATGAACCTGTCCAAAACGCACCCACACAGCGGGATAACTCGCATACCAAAAACATAGGTGATCACACACCGTTGCACAACTCTCACATGACCAACCCACACAACGAACTCGACACTCACACTAATACACAACAAAACCCTTTACCCCATGCATACTACAACACAACACCTAACACTCACTATACACCACAGTTCACAACACTTCTACAAAGGTACACTCATATTTTTTCACAGGACAAATTCAACGTACCATGCTTACGGATTCCACCAGTAAAAATACCCACGAATTCCGAGAAAATAATCACCATACGTCCATATCGTGTTCCGATGTGTGACCAACAAGAAATCCGTAACCAAATACAACAAATGCTGGAGAACGGCATCATAGAGCAATCTTTTTCACCTTTCTCGAGCCCTGTCACCCTCGTCACTAAGCGCGACAAGACCAAACGGTTTTGTATCGATTATAGGAAGGTGAACGAGCTAATCAACTCTGATGTCCATCCCCTCCCGAGAATCGAGGATATCCTAGACCGCCTCGCGCAGGCCAAATATTTCTCCACGGCAGATATATCCTCCGCGTATTGGCAAGTCCCGATACACCCCGATTCTCGACCACTGTTAGCATTTGCCACCCTCGAAGGGTTATACCAACCCACTCGATTACCTTTCGGATTAAAAACCAGCCCTCAAATTTACGAACGAGCCATAAGTCAGGTCCTACAGAGACACGGACTTGACTGTGTGGCACATTACTTTGATGATTTCATCATTTACTCCAACACGTTGGAGGAGCATCAAAACCACCTGCGACAATTTTTCGCCTTTTGCGAAGCGGAGAAACTACAACTTAACTTCGTGAAATGCGAATTTTTTAAACAATCCATAGATTTTCTAGGTTACACCATTACAGCTGGTACAATTACACCACTCACACGTAACACCGACATTATCCACGCCATCCAACAACCCCACAACCGAAAAACACTACAATCCTTCTTAGGCGCTGTGAACGTCTATAACAAATTCATTCCGGAATACGCTCGCTTGCGAGCACCACTCAATAACCTCCTCAAAAAGGATGTCGTGTGGAACTGGAATGAAGTTTGTCAAAAGGCGTTCATTGACCTGAAAGGAAACCTCACACAACACCCCATTTTACACCTTTACAAAGAAGGTCTGCCATGCCAAGTGTATTGCGATGCATCCACCCTCGGTATAGCAGGCATTCTCAAACAAGTTCACCCTGACGGAAACGTATATCCAGCTCAGTATTTCAGCCGAACATTGCGCCCACACGAGAAAAACTACTCCATCTCTGAACTTGAGTGCTTAGCAATCGTTGAGAGTGTGGAGAAGTTTCGCATCTATCTTATGGGCAGAAAATTTACTATATTTTCTGACCATCACGCATTGCAGTGGTTGAAAACCATCAAGAACCCGTCCGGCAGACTGTTTCGATGGAGTTTACGACTATCGAGTTACGAATATGAGGTCCGCTACATAAAGGGAAAACTACAATATGAAGCAGATCTCTTGTCCCGTAACCCGTTTTGTGGATTCTTGGACGCCACCCTTATCAAGACCCACCAACCTCCTCCATCGAAAGAGTCTAGTTTGACCATTGATCATAATGGATTACATACAGTTTCCCGAAAAGGTGTAACCAAGATTATACTTCCAAAACCACTCATACAACAACTCTTACAAACAGTACACACACAATACAATCACCCCGGTATTTCACAAATGTCACGACTCATATCCACGCAATATTACTGGCAAGGTATGTCCAAAGATATTAAACAAAAGGTTAAGACCTGTCCCACCTGCCAATTAACAAAACGTCCAGTAGGACCCACTTACGGAGAATTAAGTCAACCTCCGGAATCTAAAGAACCCTTCGACCTTTTATCTCTGGACACCATAGCAGGATTTACCAAATATAGCAACACCAAGATATACCTCCATGTGGTAGTCGATCATTTTTCGCGCTACGCGTGGACTTTTCCATCTAAATCCACCAGCATCATCACCTACCAACAGGTACTTAAACGAGTATTACAGGATGGCTCTCCAAAACGCCTTCTTACGGATAGAGCCCCTGCTTTCACTTCGCCAAAATTTCGTAGTTTCCTACTTAATAGAAATATTCACCCATTACTCACAACCAGCAACAATCCACAGGCCAACGGTCTATGTGAACGCCTGAACGCCACCCTCACGGGAAAACTTAGGTTATTACACCTAGAAAATCCTAAGGTCGCATGGACCAAGTTGGTCAAGAAGGTTACACTTATATATAACAAGACACCCCACTCTACCACAGGTTTTCCACCCATATACTTAATGTTTGGTATCCTACCCCCAGAAATCTCTAATCATAAAACACCGTACCCAGATATCGACAAAGCTAGAAAAATTGCACACACACGCACACAAAACAAACATTTACAAGACAAAAACACTTATGACCAACGACACAAGCAACCACATTTTGAAGTAGGTGATCTAGTGTTAGTAAAATTATATCACCACCCAAATACAGGGAAACTTGCGCCATATTTCACAGGACCTCACACAATATTAGAAATTATTTCACCAAATGTGGTCCGCATAGATCGACCAAATCAACCACTTCAAAGAGACACTGACACAATCCACGTCAACAAACTTAAACTGTATACAGAAAAAATCCATTATATATCACCACCCGCCGTTAGCACATATCATATAAAGCACAACCCCAATTACACGTTCCCTTTCAAACATTTAACACCCGAATTATTCCCAACAGAGTCATTAAGGTTCAAACCCACCCGCAGCGAACCTTTCAGGCATTTAGACCCTGCCATTTTTGCAACAAGACGATTTACATCACTCTTCCCCGATGTTAAAAACTGCAAACCTGACAACCAGCTCAATCATATCACACCACCCCCTAAAGATATCAAACAGGAGAACTGCGAACCTACCAATCATTCAAATTCTACAATTAATAAGGTTCAAGCAAATATTTCAGAGTCCCCAGTTACAAAAATATGGACGAACATGGGGCAATACCCTATTTTTCATCTGATTTTCATCCTTTGTTTGTTAGTTCTACCATACAAATGTATACCAATTTTATTCCTTAACTATTTATTTATCTATACCATGTCCGCTCATAAAATTTTCAAACTACAAGAGGCAGTTTTTAATTTTGGGCAAGCAGTTTTTCATTGTGGACAAGCAGTTTTTAATTTTGGACAAGCAGTTCTTCATTGTGGACAAACATTTATAAAACTTCTCATAATTTTAGGAACCATCTTCGCAGAAAATCTAAATAAACTCCGAAGAGATAGCAGTAACTGAAAAAGATGACCAACCAATGTCGGAGAAGTCGTACTCCAAAAACAAGCCCCGAGCCACACCCCAAAATAAATAGACGGCAGGAAATGAGAATTTTGAGACACTACGACAGGAAGTGTAGTCCGCGGCGATAAATTCGGCCTCTGCAAACAAAGCGGAGCGCCTCGTCCGATCTCCAATTTCATTCCCTCTCTTTTGCCCGACACACCCCACTTCCGTATCTCTAATTACAATGAGAAGGTCCCCTATTGAGGTCAACTGGGAACCTCGCTATGCCACCGATTTTTGATTCCAGTTCGAGTCTACATATCGATTTTTACCACCCAATTCCACATCCACAAGACAACACATAGAACTAGCTCACACATTTCTTACACAACAGACTTCTAACATTTTTTCACAACACACACAAAGACAAAAAATTACACATAAAGGTTATATAGATTTCCATGTCTCCTGTACACATAACATAAACGCACTTGAGGGCTAGAATCACGTTTTCACCTAAGTGTCGCTACAGATGAGACAAAAAATTTATAGGGCATAATTGAGCAATTAAAACATTTATAGGGCAAAATGGAGCAATCAATACATTTAGATCAGGGCATGTAGATACCAAAGGGTTCAAACCAATACACCTTATTTTTCATATCAATCATTTTCATTATTTTCTCTCAATTAAAAATGTAAATATTCAATCAATTTATCAATCTATTCAACTTAACATCACTTTTAATCATTAATTATCATATATTTACCACTTAGTTATGTTATCATAGTTTCCAATCAACAAAAACTCATTGGTTTTCTTTCAAAATTGGATATTATATTTCATTTTGATTTACAAAAACATTCTTTTTTTTTCTATCCTTTTTTCACCATGCAACAAAATATTTACTTTGATTTCTCCCAACTTTTATATTATTTTTGATTTCCTCCAACTTTTTATTTTTAATTATTTTTTGATTTCTCAAAAGCCCTAATAAAAATCCCTCGTTTTCCATTCCCAATTTCGAGCGAGAATATGGTTAGGCATTTTTCCTTTTTTTTTCCACCATGCATCAAGCATTCACTTTGATTTCTTTCAACTTTTTATTTTACTTTGATTTCTCAAAAGACCTTATGAAATTTCCTCGATTTCTTTTCTCAAAATTCGAGCAAAAAAGTAACTAAGCATTTGTCTTTGTCACCATGCAACAAAATATTTTTCCTTTTCAACCAAACACATTCAATTTTGATTTCATTCAACTATTTTTATTTTATTTTTATTTTGATTTCAAACGACCTTATGAAATTTCCTCGAATTCTTTTCCAAAATTCGAGCAAAAAGTAACTAGGCATCTTCCCTTATCACCATGCAACAAAACAATTTTTTTTTTCAACCAAACACATTCAATTTTGATTTCATTCAACTATTTTTATATTATTTTTATTTTGATTTCAAAAGCCTTAATAGAACTCCCTCGATTTCATTTCTTATCTCGAGTAGAATTCGTTTAGGCGCATTTTCCTTTCTTTTTAGCCCACTATGTACCATAGCATTCATTGATTTCTTACAATTAAAAATTTTTGATTTCTATTAATTATACTCAACCTATATCATCAACACCATTCTATTTTACTTTTATATCACCAGCCATGCTTGTATATAGCCCCTCAATACCCACAACTAATTTTACCACAAAATTATTTTTCACTTTACAGAATTCTCTCAGGCTAACCCCTTCTTGAATTCTTCACATGTAGGGGGCGCATCTGTCATAATTTGTATATAATTAAATGCAACCCCGACCCACTATGTATGTACCATGTATGATTTTCAAAGATTTAATAAAAGAATAAGGTAACTGGAGGAAAGAAAGTAACAAAAGACATAGGAAGTAGATCTAGAGGAGAACATATTTATTAATAACGTCGCAGTTAACCTTCTGACCCCGGGTCCCTGCGAGCTAAGTTTAAACCAACACTTCCTGGCAGAGACCGGACGTATCTAGTGACCGCCGAAGTTATATTAGTCAAGAAGCACTCAATACTTCCTGACAAAACAGGACGTATCTAATATCCGTCGAAGTTATAAGCGTCAAGCTACCCAACACTTCCTGATGAAATCGGATATATCAGGCAGGCCATATCTTTCACCAAAGAGAGCCGCGGTCCAATCAGAAGACAGCACCTAAATAGGTCGACCAATAGGAAAAGATCATGTGACATCTCTCGACCAATCAAAAAGAAACTGAGTCTTGGTGTTAAATCGAAAAGAAAGAATAGTTAGTAACGTTTTGGCTCTCATAGGAACAACACCTAGAGTTGTTCACTGGCTCTCGCCGAGTTCGGACAGTTGTGATTCCGCTTCCAACAAGGTGACATCTACTCGCGAGGCCTCTCTCCCTCTGCTCATCCCACAGCTAAGTACAATCACCGCCATGTGATTAGATAAGGAACAATCAAAACCGCTCCGCTCTTCTCAAGCTTTCTTCCCTCCAACCCAGTTGCCTTTTATTTTCAAACCCCATCACGTGTCCTGATTATTCCTAACTGTATGCTTAAACTTCCACTCAAACGACTGCGTTTCAACCAATCCTCACCATTCAAATCGAACAACAAGAAATTCCGCAACGATATTGTCACATATATATGTTATAAGAATGATAATTCATCAAGTGCCCAAAAGGTAGCAACACTCCTGACTTTAAAAAATGCAAATAAACATTTTTTTCTTGAATTTTTTTCTGTTTTGTTTTTAAATATGGCGGATACTGAGATCGGTTGGATTATAAATGCCACTCGAAAACCATTTTGTTATTCTTTCTATTTAAGTTATTGGTATGGAGAGAGCAGCTGGGACGTCATGAAAACTAATGAAATGTAAATTGACGGATTATACGGGTCATAATGGCCAACAGCCATAATAAAAATGCCATAGACCAGGTGCAAGAACAAAAAAAGACGGTTGTTTTTGCCAGGGGACGTGTGATAAATTAAGAAGCCAAAACTTCGGCAAGTCGTCAATAAATCAATGACTGGCTACAAGAGATTAATATTCCGGAAAATTTTTAAGTTGTGGGGGGTAAAACTGCGCTTTTTTTATTTATTTACAAAAAAAAAAGCTTAGAACATGTGTTATAATTTTTAAACGTACGAGAAAAAATGTTTCCTTTAAAAAAATCATTTTAAGAGGCTCACCATTTTGGGAAAATTAAAGATGTTACTTAAGCCGTTTTTTTGTTGTTGTTGTTGTTATGGCAAATGTTGGTTTGTCGTTCGCATCCATTCTGGCTGAATTCATCAAATTGGGGAATCTACAGAGCATAGTTCAGCTCTCGAAGATGACATTATATTGAATTTTGAGAAATAATGAAATTATGTTAATGGTCGCGTTAATCCTCAAAAACATTTAAAAATAAAAGTTATAAACAAATTAATTTCTCGTAAAGATAGAGGTTGCCTGGCCGGAATTCATAGTTCTTCAAATTAAATATACTTCAGTCAGTAAATATATATATGTTATGAATATTTTTGTTGTTGTTAGATAAGGCTTGATAAGACAAAGGATCGATAAGATAAAGGGTTGAGGTGCAGTCGTGATAAGAAAAAAATAATTATTTACCGTCAAGTAGCTTTTATTTTCAATTACTTGAGGAAAGATTACACATTAGTTATTTTCATATTATATAGAATTTATAAAGGTAATTCTATATTAGTGATTTAAAAGGATAGATATGTTAACTGCGCATATTTACAACAAAACTATACAACAAAAAACTGAAAGTCTTTCTAAAAACGATGATAACAAAAGTAAAATTATCAATGAATAAAATAAACTATATATTTTTTAAAATATATAAATATTCGAATTTTTAGATTATATAATATATTTATATATTTTTTTTTTATTGTCAGGACGTGTCGACAAAAATATTTGGTCCTCGTCAGGAGCGAACAAAAATGAAAACATTTGGATAAGCGTTAGAAATTATTCTAAGGCTGAAAGGGTGTTGCAGCTTTAGAATAATTTTTAACGCTTTTCCAATTTTTTTAATTTGTATTCGCTCCTGACGAGAACAAAAGATTTTGGTCGAAACGTCCTGACAATAAAGAATACACCTATCCCCCGATTTACACGGTACTTGTTTCACACGTTTTCGCTTTTACACGGTTTTCCAAATAAGTTTTTTTTTATCTCACTATACTACAATGCGATATTCTACTCTATACTACCTATGTTGAAAAGAATATTGGGAGGCTCTGATTCATGAGGGGGCGAACACCTATTCAGATTTGACAGTTTAATATACACCTATCCCTCGATTTACACGTTTTTCTCAGGAAGGTATCTACCGTGTAAATCGGGGGATAGGTGTATATATATATATATTTACTGGCCGAAGTATATTTTTAATCTTAGAAATATATTTCTGTTGCAAAATAAATTTATATTATTAGTGGATTATTTTGAATACATGAGTACTAAATGGTATTGGTATGCAGTCGTGGGAAATAAAAACATATTTTGATCACAATTTGCTTTAATTGTGCTAATGAAGTATTGAATCTATATTTTGATAAAGTACTGCCTGACTTAAGGCAAGTAGAATAAAGAAAACATATTTACATAATTACAAAAGATTTGAGCCGGCCAACAGGAAAGAGAAAATATGATTTTACGCGCGACTAACCAAAGTGTAAGATTTTCGAGCCTCCAAGTCAACGGGAAACAATGGGTTTATAAAGGGAAAGCCGCGACATCTGGCGGTCGTCTTTACAGAGTAGTTTGTTCTAGAAATTATAATTTTTTTTTTTTTTTTTGAATGAGATAATTTTTATATATAACATATCTATATGAAATCACCATCTTCTCAGCGGCGAAGTACGCGATCTACGTATTCTTCGTAGATCGTAAAATACGTGGTGTCGCTGGAGACCCACTGGCGATTCTCCACCAAACTCTGCAGCGCTGGCAGAGGCGCCATATTTATTGTACATAGTATGATGTATATATATAATTATCATTTTTGAATAGTGCAGACTGTGCACTTTTGCATGTATTGACAAGATGACTGTGCACTTTTGCATGTATTGACAAGATGTCAATAAAATTATTTTTATTGTCAATTGTTTATATGAAAATTCGAAACTATTATAGATGCGTATGATTCTTTTAAAAAATAAACAATTTCTACTGCCCTTACTGCAATGGAAAAATTAATTGGAGGGCTTGGCTGTAGCACTATATATATAACATCAGCTATGAACCAGAAACATGTGTTTATAGTTATCATTGAATACAGAATGGAGTTAAAAGGAGAAAATTCTCTCCTGCCCCCATTCCGTTATTTCACTCTGGGAACCCCCGCGGTGGAATCACCCCCAGGTGTGTCCCCAGACTCCGGAACAATGGTCTCCTCTATTTTTTAACGAATTCTCGGGAGAACCTCGGAGGTGAGGGAATAAAAAAACAGACCTCTTCGTTTAATGAATACAGAAGAACTTTCTAATTAAATCTTTCTTTCTTCTTTTCTCTCTTGGATATTTTGAATAAATAAACATCCTCATTTCCCCACACAACGCTATAAAGGTACAATGAGATTACTGAACTCTGAATGAACAATAATTAAATGACATCTCGGTCTAATATATTATCAAACAGTGGTTACAACTCGGGTCCAGCTCTCAGTTTCTGGAATTACACTTGCCACCGTTGTATGTTTGGTCTATAATCTTGTAGCGTCCTCTGATTGACTTCTCATCCAAGAAAATATGGAGATATGTAGACTCATGGACAAAACTTAAAGAAGTTTCATATGTTAAGCATAAACCACTCCTTTTTGCTTATATTACGCCGTATTTCCCATACATGTAAATTCGAACAATTACAAAATATATATGATAAATATATGATAATAAAAATATATACATGCTAAAAAGTACAACTTCCTTAATTTTTGTATAGATGTGTGCATATATGAAGGTAAACTTAAATTTGGAATTAAAAACTAAAATAGTATGCCATCAAATAAACACATTTACGAACTGAACGACAAGATTGTCCCGAGATTTACGCCATTGAACGGGATGGAGGATTGTTTCTGTCCAAGAGAGTTGGATGTGAGAGCTCTGTCCACCAGAGACCTCGTAATCACCTGTCACAGCTACATCTCCCTCTTGTTCTCAGGACATTGCCAGGTACGCTTGAAGTTTCTCATCGTTCTACTATTAGCTACTTCTTCGAATCTGATGACGATCCATCGTCCATCGAAGGTTTAAAATGGCGGAGAGTGAGTTTACCTGAAGCCTCTCTCAGCTTCACATTGTCACGGCAACTCCATGGTTTCTGTTTCTGGCTTTCTCCCAAGTGAAAGTTCTTCTTACACTCTCTTTAAACATGATCACGTTCTATTATTCAAATCTAAGAACTTGAAGTGCACTCTGTGTGTAAAAGGGAATTCAGTCAGGACTTTCCACACTACATGTTTTACTATCCCGCTTTAAAGATTGCTTATGAAAACAAGTCGCCATATGTTTTATTGGAAAAGGTAGTGAAAAGCGGGATTAGCTTTTCA